GCCCTCAAGAGAGCTCCGAGAGGCCTTCCGAGAGCGCCCGGAGAATCAAATATCGTCAATTCCAATTTTTTTGGTCCAGGGTTTTTTGGCTTTCTCACCATTTCACGCTTCCAACGCTCCAACACGGCCGAAGAGGCCTCCAAGACCGCCCCAAGACCGTCCCAAGACGGCCCAAGACGGCACCAAGACGTGCCAAGAAGGCCCCAAGACTGCCGAAGAGGCGGACCACCCCAGAACAGGCCCAAGACGGGCCCAAGAGCGGGAGCAGGAGGCCTCCAGAGACCTCCGAGAGGACCCCGGGACCCCCCAGAGGCCTCCAACACACCCCAGACCCTTGAGAGGGTCCCAAAAAGGCCCCAACGAGGCCTATCCTCTTTCTCGAGCCCCATCAACACGTCGGGGTCACATGCAAAAATGTTTCGGGAATGCTGCTGAACTCTCTGACGCTGTCTTGGCCCTCTCCTGGATCGTCCTCGTGTCCTCTTCGGCTGCCCCTGAAACCACAATAGAAATCGAGATCCCATGATCCCATGAGTTGAAACAGTGGAATTTGGGAGTTCTTTTTATCCAAACTCACGCCCTGCTTATTTTTGCACGAAGACCCCGAGAGGCATCCCAACTGACCGTGGCCTAGACCCAGGAAGCGTCCAACCCACAGCCCAGACACTACAACTTGAAAAAAATGGAAATCCCACATTTCCGTTTTTGTCCCAAGTTCGCCCCCTTGTCTATTCTTACACCAGAAACCACAATTAAGGCCCCAGAGAAGAACCCAGGAAGCCTTCGAAGGCCCCAAATCGTTGAATACCTAACAGCAATTTCTGATTTGTGGTTTCCGCAGTTCCCCTTCTATACGATTCCGAGGCTTGCGCAGGGCCTCCAAGACAGTCCTTGAACGCAAGAATCGACAACTATTACATTCCATGTGTTCGCCCATTAAGCCTAGCTAGAACTTGAGCGCGCGCGAAGCGCGCGATGGTTCTAGTGCGTATATACATCTCAACATACCTACATACATAGAGACAGCCAGACAGACAGACAGACAGACATGCATGCATGCATGCAAACATATATGTTTATACATCTGCATTTTTCCATGTATGTGCGTATCAGTGAGGGGGCCGAACGGTCATTCATTGTCCCTGGGGGTGCGTGGCTTAAGTGCGGATCCGTGGTGAGGATTCTGCTTGTTGCGTTTTTGTTGTTGTTGTTGCTGGTGTTGTTGTTGTTGTTTGTTGTCGTCTTCCAGCCCGCGACCCGGTCGCGAGCCACCCGCGAGCCACCCGCGACCCACCCGCGACCCACCCGCCACCCACCCCGCGACCCACCCGCGACCCACCGTCGACCCACCCGCGACCCACCTGCGACCCAACCCGCGACCAACTTACATTAGTTTAACAAAAATCGGCGCCTGCGGCGGGCTCGTTGTATAGCTTGAAATGTTTGCGCCTGCGGCGGGCGGGCGTCTTCAGAGCCTCGCAGACTGCAGACGTCCCCGCCGCCCCCTCACGGTTATCCGCAAGTGCGGGGTGGTACATATGTGCGCATACATGCACATGTACATACACATACAATTTCATACACACATACATACATGCTTACATAGAAACATACCTTCATGCATATATAGATATATCTATCACCGATAAGACCTACGAACATGATAATCGAAGACGCCTACGGCGAATCATCGCCGCCCCCTGCCCTTGTGGAAGCGCCTATGTGTCCGACAGCTGGGCTAGAGCTTGGCAAAGCTATCGGACCATGTGTTCCCCGAGTCGGTTTGGATTGGTCTCGGTGAACGCGGGGGGCAGGAATGGAAGGAGGAGGAGAAGGGGAGGCTGCCTCTTCGAAGCCTCTTGAGGCACTCTTGGGCTCGATTGGACCATCTTGGGACCGTCTTGGAGGACATGTTGGGGCTATCTTGGGCTCTCTTGGGGCCTGTTGAGGGCCTCTTGGGGCACTTTGGGGGCTTCTCGGGGGCTTCTTGGGCCGTCTGGGGGCGGGCCCTCTTCGGGCGCTTCAGGGCCGTTTTGGAGGCCATCTTGGGCGTCTTGGAGGCCTTTTGGGGCCGTCTTGGGGCCCTCTTGGGGCCGTCTTGGGGGCTTCTTGGGCCGTCATGGGGCCATCTTCGAGGCCTCGTGAGCCATTTTGTGGCGATCTTGGGGGCCTCTTGGGCCGTCTTGAGGTGTTCGGAAGGCAGAAAAGAAGCAAATGCCAAAATCTTTCAAAAACCTTAGGAAAACCAATGATTTTGGCCTCTTCGGGCCCTCCTTGAGAACCTCTTGGAGGCGTCTTGGGGAGCTCTTGGGGGCCTCTTGGGCCGTCTTGAACCATATTGAGGCTATCTTAGGCCGTCCTGGAGGCATCTTGGGCCATCTTGGAGGCATCTTGGGGCCATCTGAGCCGTCTTGGAGGCCATGTTGGCCGTCTTGGAGGCCATCTTGGGCCGCCTTGGAGCCGTCTGGAGCAGGAAACACCGTTGGCAACCGGCTCCCCGGGCACGCCGGAAGAATCTGGAAGATTTTTCCGGGTGGCTTGCGGTACGGGTCGAAGCCCCAGGGGGAGCTTGTTGGGAAAAAGAAGCAAAACCAAAACCACAAATAGTTTAGCACGCCAGGCACCCTTGCGATGAATCGACAGGGGGCGGCGGATTATCGAAGACGCCTACGGCGAATCACCGCCGTCCCCTGCCTTTTTGGAAGCGCCTATGTGGCCGAACGTTGAGGCCAGACCTGCCAAGCTATCGGACCATGTGTTCCCCCAATCGGTTTGGAAAGCCTTCGGGGAACACGTGGGCATCTTGAAGGTCACCTTGGCCGTCTGGAGGCCCTTTTGACCCTTTCGGGCCTTCTTGGAGGACGTCTTGGAGGGCTCTTGGGCCGCCTTGGAGGCCATCTTGAGCGTCGTGGAGACCTCTTGGGCGGTTCTGGGGGCCTCTTGGGGCCGTGACTTGGGCCTCTTGGGCGATCTTTCGGGGCACTTACGCCGTCTCGGGCCGTCGGAAGGCCGAACAAAAAGCAAATGCCACAATCCTTCAAACACGAATGGGAAATCAATGCCTTTTCGGGCCTGCCTGGAGGCTCTCTTGGAGGCCTCCTGGGCCGTCTTGGGCCATCTTAGGGCCATGTTCGGCCGTCTTGGTGGGCTCCTCGTCCGTCTGACGCCGTCGGGAGCCGTTTGGGGGGCCTCTATGGGCCGACTTGGGGCCCTCTTGGAATGCTCCAGGGCCGTCTTGAAGGCCATCTTGGGCGTCTTAACGGCCCCCTATGCCGTCTTTGGGGCCTCTTGGGGCCGTTTTGGGGCCCTCTTGGGCCGTTCTGAGGCCATCTTGGATGCGTCTTGGGCGATCTTTCGGCGATCTTTGGGGGCTCTTGGGCCGTCTCGGGCCGTCGGAAGGCCGAAAAGAAGCAACTATCAAAATCCGTTAAAAACCTTAGGACAATACATGTTTTTGGCCTCTTCTGGCCTTCCTGGAGGCCCTCTTGGGGGCCTCTCGGGCCGTCTTGGGCCAGCTTCGAGCCAACTTCTGCCATCTCGGTGGGTTCCTGGCACGTCTGACGCCGTCGGGAGCCGTCTTGGGTGCCTTTCTGGGCCGTCTTGGGGGCCTTTCTGGGCCGACTTGGGGCCCTTTTGGGGCGCTTCGGGGCCGTCATGGAGGCCATCTTGGGCGTCTTGGAGGCCATCTTGGGCGTGTTGATGGCCTCTTGGGTCGTCTTGGGGGCGGGCTTGGGGGCGTCTGGGGCCGTCATGGCGCCATCTTGGAGGCCTCTTGGGCGATCTTGGGAGCCTCTTGGGCTGTCTTGGGCCGTCGGAAAGACGAAAAGGCGCAAATGTCCAAATCCTTCAAAAACCAAAAGAAAATCAATGATGTTGGCCCTTTCGGGCCTTCCTGGAGGACGTCTTGGAGGGCTCTTGTCTTGGGCCGTCTTGGAGGCCTCTTGCGGGCCTTTTGGGCCGTCGTAGACCATCTTGACCTTCGGCCCATCCCGCCACTGTGCCTGGGTTGTGGGTATGAAGCCTGTTGGACGTTCGTTGGGATCTCGTGGGAGGCCTCTCGGGGGCTTCGGGGAGGCAGTTTGGAGGCTTCTTAGGGGGCCGTTTCGGGGCCTCCTGGGGCCTCTTGGTGGCCGCCTGGGGGCGTCGGCCTCCTGGACGTCTCTTGGGGCGGAAGGTTCGGATGCTCGGTCCGTGTTCCCTCTCTTGGGCTCCTTCTGGGGCCCCCTTAGGCCGTCTTGGGCGCCTCTTGGGACGTCTTGGGGCGCTCTGAGGCCGTTTGGGGGCCCTCTTGGGTACCTCTGTGGCTGTTTTGGGGTGGTCCTGGGCCGTCTCGGAGAATCAGACAGCAGAAGAGGCGAGAACGCCCAAACCCAGTGAAACCCTGCAGAAAATCAATGATGTTGGCTTCTTGGGGACCTCTTGGGAGGCCCCTTGGAGGTCTCTTTGGACGTCTTGGAGGCCTCTTGGGCCGTTTCGGGCGTCTTGGAGCGAACTTTAGGCGACTCGGGGCCCTCTTGGGCCAGAAACCCATGCGGAACCACTTCCCGGAGCCGGCTGCCATCCGCCTGTGGGCTTCCCTATGATTCGGCAATTTCCAAAAGGCGAAGAATAGGAAACCCGAGGTCGCAGGGCGTCAGACGCGAACCCCACGACCTCACCCCCCAAAAAAGTCTTCCTGGAATTATGGGAAATCCATAGGTCGCCGGAAACCCGTGTAGGGAATCTGGCGACCTATGGGTTTCCCAGAATGGTCCCCGCCGAAGTATGGGAAACCCATAGGTCGCCAGAGACCCCTAGGGAATCTGACGACCTGTGGGTTTCCCATAATTCTTCTCGCCGAATTTAGCGAAACCAATAGGTGCCTTACGGGTTTCCCAGAATTGTCGCCGCCGAGTTACGCGAAACCCATAGGTCGCCAGGAACCCTTAGGGAATCTGGCGACTTCTGACACAGCAGACGTCACTGCGACAAACATGCCGGAAGCTATCAAATCTTTCCGCAGCCATGTTGGCACAAGCTTTCGGCGCAGCGCGCGCCTTCGGTGTCCGTGGATGACTGTCAGCCCGGAGGGGCCGGCCTGTCCGCAGGGGGCCAATATGGCTCAGGCCGGGCTCCAAGGTTCTAGGCCTCCTAGATGGGGTCCGAGTAAATGGGGTCGAAGGATCGCGCCGCATCGCCGATACATCGACGACGCGGCTCGATGTGGAGCCCGTGTTTTCCCACGCTAACGTCGCCGATGCATCGCCGACGCATCGCCGATGCATCGCCGATGCATCGCCGATACAACGGCGATGCATTGGCGATGCGGCGCAACTCTCCGACCCCATCTACTCGGACCCCATCTAGGAGGCCTCTCAAGGCCTGCCAGCAGACAGCAAGATGGCGTTCGTGTCGGAGGCGCCGCCCCGGCAGCACCGGCAGGTCATCTTCGATATCGACGAGGACGCAGCGAAGAAGCCCGTGGAGCCGGGGGCGTTTGGGGTCTCGCGGGCCTCGTGCTCAACGAGCGCTGGCCTCAGCGTGAATTTCAGCAGCGACGGGACGTTGTCGACCTCGTACGGCACACGATCGTCCTTCAGCGGGAGGCCGTCTTTCAGCCGGAGTTTGGCCAACTGCAGCAGGAGGGGAAGCCTCGAGTCGCGCAGGAGGGGAAGCCTCGAGTCGTGCAGCTCCCTGCGCAGGGGTTCGGAGTCTCGACTGAAGAGTTGGAGGCTTCTGACCTGGATGCAGGCACTGAAGGTCAACTACGAGACCCTGACGACCGGGGAGATGCTGGGGGAGGGGAGCACCGCGAACGTGCACCGGGGCAAGTTCAAGCAGGAGGCCATCGCTGACGTGGTGGGCGAGGACGAGGACATTCAGGTCACGGAGGTTGCGATCAAGAAGTTCTTGTTTGGCAAACAGGAGCATGATCAGCTCACGAAAGCTCTTGTGCGGGAGCTCGAGGTGCTTACCTTGCTGAACCACGACAACCTTGTGCGCCTGATAGGTGTAGTAGAGAAGCCCACCTGCATCGTGATGGAGCTGTGCCAGGGAGGACCGGTGTACAACTTACTATACAATTCCACGTATAAAGTCCATTGGGAACAGCAGTTGAAGATCGCCTGCGACGTCGCAGATGCCATGGATTACCTCCATGGCCTCGAGCCCCCTGTCATCCACAGGGACCTGAAATCTCTCAATTGTCTGCTGGACGAGCCCGTGGTCTCGGCAGATTGCGAACCCTTCGTGAAGGTGGCCGATTTTGGCATGGCTATCAGATGGAGCCCCGTCCGAAAACTGACCAGGGGAGCTGGCACCTGCCACTGGATGGCGCCCGAGGTGGCGAGCGGGACCGACTACGAGGCCAAGGCTGACGTGTTCTCGTACGGAATGATGCTGTGGGAAATCTTTCGCTTGGAAGTTCCGTTCCGGGACCGGTCCCCAAACGAGGTTGCCAAGTTGCTCTGCCTGGGCGAGCGCCCAATGATTTTGAAGGATGAGTTCCCACCCGACTGTCCCGAGCAGCTCATCGCGTTGATGACGGAGTGCTGGGACCAGAATCCGGACTGCAGACCAACCTTCGAGCACGTGGTGGAGACCCTGGACGAGTTCCTCCCACGGCCCGATGGCATCGACGACGATGATTTCGTGGAGAACGCTTGGTGGAGATCCCCTAACCATTCGGTGGAGATCCCTGTCCAAGGTATGGATTCGGACTCCGAGGGGCTCGACATGGACGCCTGCGTCCCGACACCGAGCTGAGCCTTTGGCCGCCCCGGGGGGGTGTTTTCCGCATGGTCTATTGACAGCGGCATGGTCTACCGACAGCGACACAACCGCCAAGGGTACCGATCGAGTGAGCCTGGACATGATCCCCAGACATGATTTACGCGACTTCCTCCTCATCCTCCATCCTTTTATTACCAGCCTGGAACATACCCCTATCCCTATGACGGGCACCTCCTCATCACGATGCCAATCTTAGGGATTCCCATTTTTTGTGAGGGCGAATCCCTAAGATTGTCATCGCCTTTTGACGTGTCAATCTTAGGGATAGGGAGACGTTCGGGGCTGGTAAATTTACCTTATAAAGAACTCCCTGTCGCACCGCCAGACGTGTGCCTAGGGCGGGCTGGGCGTTTCGCCGGAGACCTCCCCACCAGGCATGATTCTGAAGCCTGAAATTGGCAACGGCTTCAAGGATGGAGGACGGGTCGTTTGGAAAAGTGTGGCCCTCGCTTTCGCGCAGCGCGCAGTTCGTCTCAAAGTGTCGCAAGTTGTTCAAGGATGGAGGGCGGGTGGTTTTCAATAAGTGGCTCTCGCCTTAGCAACGAGAAATTCTTAAGTGTTTTAAGTTCCACACAAGGGTTCGTATGGTTGGAGTCCCAGGAACTGTGTTCTGGCATGGCTTAGAGTTGTCAAGACGCAGCAGTCACATTGATTCGTGATGCTGAAATTTCAGGAATGGTGTTCGGGCACGATTGAAGATTGTCCGGACGCATCACCCACGTCGATTCGTGGCGTCGAAGTCCCAGGAAGTGTGTTTGGCACGATTGAGGTTTATCAGACGG